AACACAACATTCCGTTCAATAGAAGCACCAGAACATATTCACGGAAGCAGATTTATTCTTGTGCAAACATCAAATAGTTCAAGTCCCTCTACATACTAGTAATTAGAATGTGAAAAAAATGGAGGCTCTGAAATGTAAAAATAAAGAGCAACAGTTGGTATTGGTGTTGGAGAGAATGGACTCGGAAGCACGAGCTTGGGATTACAGCATCAACTTGTTTGCTGATATGAAACAAAGCAAGAAAAAGCCAATATGAACCTGCGGTAGTTGCTGAATTCCTTCTAGATGCAAGGTCTACTATATAACCAATAATGTTTGTCTTACTTCACATTAATGAAATACATCTAACATTAAGTTTTCTTTACTGTTACAAGTTACAACTGATAAAAGAAGGATGATAGTGATATTTTGAGTAGGCTTTGATGGGTGGCATGTGAAGTCAAGTGATCTCATTTAAGTGGCATGTGAAGACAAGGTAAGAGAATCTAGCTAGCAGTTTTACCTTCAGATTGCTTCAAGACAAGCACCACAGATCAACTACAGATTGATATTATAGGACTAATGCCAGTTGCTAGGGCATTTATGAGGGGCCTTCCTTCCAAAGACGAGTGAAAAGAACCTAAAATAGTACTAAGCAAGTGCCAGTTTCACCTCTGTTTTTGATGCTTTTAGTTACAGTTCCGGTCAGTCCTGAGGTTTTCAAAGTTAGGTACTTCCTTTCGGCTCATGAGTTGTAATATATATTGTACCTTTTCAGGATGAGTGTATCCATCTTGGTTGTGTTTGTAAGTGACATCATCAATGCGATCAAGATTAAGAATATAAGTGAGAATATCTGTAGACATTGGAGTTGATCATAAAATTCCTTCATTTACATCCTTCCACGCTCTCATCCATTTCTTGAAATATTTCCATTGCCTCTTCTGTTCAAATGCCATAATCTCTCATATGACACTCAATTCCAGTCGCGATCTGACCTCTACCCTTCTCAACCTGGATCGGGAATCAAAATGTACTGGTATAGGTATGAAATCATTTTTATCGCTTCATGGTAGTAACTTACGTAAAATAAAAAAATCTAAGTTTATTTGATGCAATTGAACGAGTATGAAATCACTCCATTCATACTCTCTCTTTTGCATAGTGAAAAACATCAGATATGCCTTTGATAACTCTGTTTCATAATAGTTGTAGAGATCTAAAAGTGCTTTGTAATGAGTGAGCTGATAAATTTGGCTAATATCCCACCAAATAAATGAAAAAGAAATGAATTTGATATCTTATAAAAAAAAATTTGCAAAAAGTTGTTATTTGTGTATTATATTGATCATCTTTAAATACATAAGGAGGAACAAAGATTGCTACAATACAAAGGAAACTGAATAAAAAGAATCAGAAGATCACAAAAATAAGAGATATTAACGACATATGTGATAAGGTGAATTTACCACTTATTTATATGTCTTCTAACCATTAAATGAGGCTACTTATATAGTGATTTGTGATTATTCTAGGTGGGAAGCTGCAAAATAAGTTGTGCAAGGAAAGGAGTTCAAAAGGAGCAAGAGGAGGAATTGTTGTGCTGAGACCACTGTCAGGCCTCTCGCACCTGCAGGGAAAGAAACGCAACAGCAAAGAGTTCACTGTTCCACTAGAGTCACGCCTGCGATGAAGTAACACCACTGCAACTCGCAACAGCGAAGGGACACCACTTCAGCAAAACTGAGGAAACAATAACAGGACCGCTCCTACGAGATGATATTTGTGCTTTGTATTGAATATTTGTAGGTGTAGTTGCTAATTTCAGATTTGGATACTGTGTTAGATATAAACAACATTTGGGTTTTTGATTTATGTCTTGTGTTTTTTTATTTAGTTGAATACTATCTGATTATGAATCGAGTCCTTGATTATCTAATTAATCTCATGCTTTAATTGATTTCTTGTTCTCAAAAAAGGCTGGGGTAATTAATCCTAAAACAGAATCTCCCCTAAACAGTGATTACTCAAGGAACATCAAAGGTGGATAGCCTAAGGATCTGGGTGTCCAGATCAATCTTGTTCATGTTTTGCTTCTTGCTGAGAATATTCTAAAGTGGTTTATACATGTTAATTGTGTTAGGATTTGAATTTTCTATTACGATATTCTTTAACTCGTCATAAGTTACAAAAGTATATTTTATGAGTTTGCAAATGCTCTAAAACACACGGAAATAACTTAAAATTTTAAATTGAAGTGTTTAAACTTTTTTTTTAATAACCGGGAAATTCGTTTGTGACCCGCCGCCCTTTGGACCAATCACAGCCTTCTAAGCTCGGTGGATAATGGGCCCGCCCCTCTACCCTTCTCCACTTAAAAACCGGGCAACGCTTTGCATGGTGTGGGGTTTGAACCTGCGACCTAAGCCACAAATCCTCCACCTTTTGCCACGAGCTAGACCTTGGGGGGATGTTTAAACTTTTTTATACATTAATATGAGTAAGAAAATAAATATTTCCGTATTGTTAAAGCTAATAGTGGAAGGTTGTTTATTTAGCATGTCTACATTAGGAAATATACATAGTTGAATAAGAGCAAATTTAGAAAATATACAAATACAATAAAAGAAAAAAAATTATCCCAAAAACTATCATCAATTTACATATTAACTTTGCTAAAACATATATCACAATAAATTTTTTCCAATGATTCAGTAAAATAAATTATACTAAAAAATATGTCATCTGCAATTACATTAGTTACAAATTTTGACAAAGCTACAATGAACAAAAAAAGAATTTAATTAATATTATGATTTGGGTCAAATCCTACCAAATAAGGGATCATCATAAATATTTTTACTTTTTTGTTATTGAGTTCATTTTTCATCAAATAATATAATAATTCTATCTCTATAAATACATCTTTAAAACAAAGACTCAACATCACATTTTTTTACATTCTCAAATCAAAAGTTTAGCCATGAGAAGACCTAATGGCCGCAAAAAAATTGAAATTGCGAGAATACAAAATCAAACCAACTTACAAGTGACATTCTCAAAAAGACGTGCTGGCCTATTTAAAAAGGCAAGTGAGCTCTCTACTTTGTGCGGTGCTAATGTTGCTATTGTAGCTTTTTCTCCCAGCAACAAAGTATACGCATGTGGACACCCTTCCGTCGAGTCAATTGTGGATAAATTTGTCAGAGAGAATCCTCCACCTGATACTGATGATCCTAACCCCATCATTGTAGCTCATCAAAATGCCAATATTGATGAGATCAATGAAAAGCTGAACAAGTTGGAGAGATCACTCGAAAGAGAAAGAAAACATGGACAAGCACTTCAAGCATTGAGGACAGAACCTTCAAATGAAAAACTTAGCTTTTATGACCTTAAGATCTTGTGCGAGTCCTTGGAGGCTGCGGATAAAAAAGTTGAAAAACTAGCAAGCCAACTTATGGAGTGTGGTATTGAATTTCCATATCAAACCATTGGAAGTGCGCTCGCTCCTTTAAGAGCTAGGGAAAGCACTTCGTCCGATTCCGGCGAAGGGTCATCTAGATCCGATGAATAGATTTTTCTTGCTTTATTTAAAGTTCAATAACTTAATTTGGTATTTATAGAGTTAAGTATGTCATATCGATGATTAAGTTTTTATCTTAATTTTATCTTTCAATATGTTCATCATGGAATGGAATAAGCTTTTATTTTGGTACTTTATTCATTTGAATTACTTTGTCTTACTTTTTTTTGGTCCATTTAAAAAAGAATGTCTTTTTACAACACTTAGTTTATAATTTTCACATATCATGTTTAAAACCATAAGAACCGCTAACCAACAGGTTTTCCACTTCTTGTTTATGGTTACCTTCCTAAGTAATAACTACTACCTAATATCGATCTAAAGAGTTTTTGTTGTCATAGATCTTGATAATTATACATTAAAGGAGATACACTACATAATTTGTCCCCTGTATTTTAGAGAATCTACCCAGCAGTTTTAAAATGTTACATGTATGCAATACTAAGATTAAAAATTTTCACATCCAAATACTCTATCCACTCAACAAAGTACCCAGATCCAAACATTGTTTTCGTTGTAAGATACTGATTTCTATCAATCCCATTCAATTGAAGGAATTCAAAAACTGTGAATTCTCAATTCTCTATGACGTCAGAATGATAGTGAACCAAGACATGAAGTGTAATGCAAAAGCACGCCTTGTTTCTGGAAACTTCATGCAGTGCAAGATGAACAAGGAACAGCTTGAACTAAGAGGAAGCAGATTAATTCCTGTGCAAGCACGAATCTGGTTGTATGTGGCATTACAATAAACTGATGTAAATCCATGAAATGCTGTTGTTTACACTTTAGGCTACTGGTTCATAGACTATATTTTCTAACATGATAGCAACTTGAGAAAAAGAAAACCAGCAATACAGTACTGTTGAAATTGCAAGCATAGATATCCTTGAAAGTACTGTTGAAATTGCAAGCATAGATATCCTAGATAAAAGAAAATACAGAGGCTTTTGAATAATCTAAAGGAGATGGACGATAAAGGTGGATAATACAGAGGAACATGTTCCTGTAATACCTGTATACAACATCATCTTGTGCATCACACAAGACATGAACCCTCAGTTTCGTTGCCAAAGTAAGGAGAGACAAGGCTGTCAACAAAAGTTCGAGCTTCATACGTAACAGGATTTACATCAATCAACAGATCCTTACGCCGATTCTCTTTCAGATTGTAGACAACCCATTCTTCGTCGACTTCCAATAAAACATCATCCTCATCAGTAATGGAACACAATAGCGTACTAAGAGAATCATCCAAACTCGGTTCTATAATCTCAAATTTGGTCCAAGACTCCTTAACCCCATACTCTTTCATGATCCAAAATGTAACTGTGTTTATGTCTCGGGGTAAACTGGTAGATATACAAAGACACCCTTTAAGTGTTGCAAGATTACACATAAAGCAATTATCCTGAAGATCAATAGGTCCTGGTACCTCCAAGAATTTATCAACACTTAAATCAAAAGCAGCAATTGCAGTTGAATATTCAACAGTTCTACAAGCCAACCAATGCAAAGCCCCATTAACCAAAACCCCAGAAGCACGGTCAGTAAGTGAATGATCATAAGGAGAAACCCCAAGTGTCTCCCAATGACCCTTTCTCACAGAGTACAAATCCACATAAGTATTAGACATAAATTCATTATTCGTATCACGATAGGAAAGAGAAACCACCTTATAATCATCACTAACAATATCATACCCTAAACCATACATGTAACAGCTAGTTTTCGGAGGAAGAGCCCAATCAAAAACAGGAAATTTATGGTATTCTAAGGTAGTTGGGTTGATCAAAAATTGAACATTATCCCTATCAATCACTAAGACCAACCCATTACAAGACCCAGCTACAGAAATCCAGTTATGTGTGAGGTGCTGAAAATTAACCTTTGTTGAAATGCTATCGATGGATTCATCTTCGAGGATGTCGTGGATAAGCGTGATAGTATGAAGTTCGCTACGCCAAGTGACGATAATGAGTTTCTCTTCTTGTGTATGGACGTGGAGGTTGAAGTGAAGTTTGATGAATTGTGGGTGTGAGAGAAAATTGCGCCAGTGCTTTGATAGGCACCTACACCGCCCAATGGACTTTACAGGGAGGCGGTAGAATATTTCACTTATGAGTTCTTCGGGTAGGTATTTACCTATGCTCATCGCCATTGTTGGATTTTGGAGGATTTTGGAGGATTATGTAGGGTATTTGCTCCACCTCTGATTTCAAAGAAAATGGAGGACGTGAAAGGGTCAGTTTTCCCCAATAATTTTGCACACTAGTGAAATTACGTGCGCTTGCACATTTTTCACTTTTTTGACACTGAAAAGTTTTTTTACTCTGTTTGGTAATGAAACAAAATTTAAAAATAATTTTTATTTTTATTTCATGGACACAATCAAATATTACTTTCATTTTTAAAAAGAAAAAACTTTCCAGGGTCAAAACTATTAACACGTTGCCTTTTTCAATCAATAAATTAGGTTCTACAACAAGGCAATTCACAAAGCACAACTATTAACACGTTGCCTTTTTCATTAATCAATTTTTCATTCATTAAGATTAATCAAGTAGAACAATTGAACTCTTTACTTCATTCTCATTACTCCCCTACACACATAATAAAGGGAAATACAAGATTCTACAAGTTTTACATGGTTTAAAAAAGTTTACTTGTGTAACACCTCGAACTTTGAAAAAGCTAAATAGAATTTTGTGCAAATCACCCATCAATTTTTAGTTATGGGTCAACTACGATCATATATTTTAGCACATGAAGATATAGGTGGCTCATGACCTATCAAATTGAAGGTCTTGAGTCCTTTTTCCAACGCCGCCAAGTTTGCTAAATTTTGAGCTCCGAGTAAAAGGTTATGGTTGTTTGAGTAAGCCTCACCATTTAAGGCATTCCACTCGTTTTAGGAAAGGGTATTTTGGTCTTTTCCTTTTCCCACTAGGCTTAGCACATTTTTCCTGACTCAATTAAGGGATCTAATCAGATTCTAAATCACCTATTCACGTTCCTAGACATCAGGGATTTAGAGCGAGGTTTCAAGAGGAGAAAAGGGCTAAGTTCAAGCGTTCTTCAAGATTTGTGGTTTCGGCAAGAATATCGTTCTTTCCAGGTATGTAAGGCTTCTCATAGTGTTGGACTTGTTCGTCCTCACACCATACATCTAATTCATCCATGAATTCGTCCATGAAATTGTTATATTAAGAGATTTTTGAGTAGTTCTTGATTTTAGTTTCATTCTTTAATCATTGAGGCTTTGAGTTTCTTGTGTTGAGGATCTTGAGTATGAGTTGTGATTTCTTAAAAGGGATTGTATGAAATTTTTCATGTAATCGTGTTGGTTTGAGAATTAAGAAGAGTTTAGGAGAAATCTCCCAATTTTAAATGAGTTTGAAGCCTAATTTAACAAAATATCGTCAGGTTCGCTAGGGAGGGGTTGGGGAGCCGCGTCAATAGTGCGCTCGAAACAAGCCCAGTACTTTGGGGTCTAAGGCAGCGCGCCAGCAGTGCTCCCGGATCCAACCCAATACTTTGGGTCTAGCGCCCTGCGTCTGCAATACGCCCGAAATTCACTGGGCCAGTTCTTCCTTGCTTAGTCAGGCGTGTATCTACGTTTCACCTCTCTATATTAACTACTAAAGACTCCTTTTACCTTTGAGAATTCCTTCATGTTCTAATTACATGTCCTAATTTACAAATCAAAATCTAAAGTGAGTTTAAGAGGAAAGTTCAAGAAGTTCTTTTTGAGTGTTTTGAGAATCTTTTGTAACCAACTATAATTTGAACTAAGTTTTTTTGAGAAAGTAAAAATGAGTAATGAGGACAGTTGTATTCATAATCGAGAAATAATAGAAGGAAACTAAGTACTTCCAAATGTAACAATTTTACATTGAGAAAGAGGAACTTTGATTTCTAAAGAAAGAGTTTATGAGTTCGACATATTTCACTATCTCTTTAAAAGAGTTATTTTGAGTAAGTACCTCAAATTGAGAAAGAGTTATGTTTTATACATTTGAGCATGAGTTATATATTATTGGAAGTAGTATTGAGCACCGATATGGGGATGAGTTCAGACAACTCACATTCTTCATAAATCATGTAGCCAACATGGGTAAAAGATCGTATTTTTTAGACGACTCCTTTTTGCTTTTAAGCATAGCTATAGGGTAGTTCTAACAGTGTGGGCGAGACGTTGTATCATCAACCACTAAGGCATGACCAAGGCCACTCCCACTAGTCGTCTAAGGCTTCACGATCCGTGAAGTGGCTCGTGTGGAGGAGCCAATTTGGGGCAGCCTTAAGGAGGCTACTACCCCACCTCCACGAGTGGCACCACGACTCGTGGTGACCACCACTGGTCGTAAAGGCCATCGTGGTCATGGGGCAGTGCCTTGGCAAGGCTTGGGCATTCTTGCCCCTTGCCCCTTTGCCCTTGTCCCTAACCCTTCTTCCTCGACGTACGTTTATCTCTAATTTAGCCTACTAGTTTCCGGGGTGTTACGATAAGAGTAAAGAGTAACTTATTGTATTTGTATACATATCTTTGAGTTAGTATCTTTTATTTATGAAGCTTTAAACGTGTCATATTTTGTTATTGCTTTGTATTGTGTTGAGTTGAGGTGGGTATTTCTTCTAGCCTTGTCAGTTCAATTATCTATTGCATTCAGTTCTCTTTACATGCTTGTACATTCTATGTACTGAGGTCATTCGACTTGCATCTTTTCATGATGTAGATACAGGTGCCCAAGGTCATCAATAGGCGCTTCGTTGATACCTCTTGAAATCCAGCTAGCTTTGGTGAGCCTCATTGCTTTCCGGAGGGCTTCACACGTATTTCTTGCTTTGTTAAGTTGTCATGGGTTCTTTCCCGACATCTATCTTAGAGGTTTCATAGGTAGTAGAGGTTGAAGAGCCTATGATTATTTCCCCTTCTTGTTGAGACAGTTGATTGTAACTTAATAAGTATTTTCAGATGTTCCTTTGAGTTGAGTTTTTGTTTTAGACTTTAAATTTTAATTATGTATTTGAAATTTCCATTTTGCTTGAGTAAGTCTTCCGCTAAGTAGTTAGCCAGGCCAAGGGTTCGTTTGGGGATCAGCGATGGTTCTCGAGTGCCGGCCACGTCTAGGGTGTAGACTTGGGACGTGACAAGTTGCTTCAATTCAATCAAAAGTCAATCCAAGACTTGAGCATTTCCTTTTCGAACAACGTCCAAAGTCACACAATCTAATCCTACCAAGTAATCACAATAAGATTTCGAAAATAACAATACTCATACCAACGAGATTGTCGAAAGTCCAATCCGAGCATCTGAACCCCGAATGTTGACCAAACTCAACCCAAAGGCTAAAATTCACAAACTTTCAACTTAGGACCTCAAATCTTCTAGACCAATTTCCACATTTCGGAACTGATGGAATCTACATAATTCTATTTCTGAGACTCGAAACTTCAAAAGACACCAAAAATCCCTTTTTAACAACTTTAACCTTTCAACTTCCAAAAATTTCATAATTCACAACTTATAAATCAAAACTCGAAACCAAATTCAAAATTCAATCATAAATAACCCGGGGTCGATATCGGGAGGGGTATAACGGTAATTTTATGAAGAATTCCAAATATGACATTTGTGTCATTACAAGTCTTCAACAGAGGCGAACCCACATGTATAGGTAGGGTGCACGTGTATCTGCTCACTTCAGAAAAAAAACATGTGTATATATGTATATATCTTTTGAGAAACTAGAATATAACTAACTGTGCACCTATAGAGAGCTTAGAAGTGCACCTTGGGACATTGGTTTAAGCCAATGCACCCACCCGCACGACCACTACGAGACCAGGGGCCAGTCCCGGCTAAAACTCCATTTCACTGTTCTATTATAATTTTCGAATTTAAAGGGCTTATTTTAATTGTAACATCAAAATTGCTAGATAGGAAATTTATACTCGTGACAATCCAGTATAATAAACCTACTTAACCATTGAGCTATCTCACTCAATTGTTTTTCAATTTTTTTAATAAAGTTAAAGTCTACACATTATCTTAAAGACTTTAAAATTCATATTATAGCAAAGTAAAGTTTAAGTATTAGCTTAGAGCTTATGCATGATCAATATATTGTATTTCATTTTTTTTAGTATTATTCAAGTTATTAGTGGTCAATTGAATTCGACATTTTCCTTAATCGTTATTGAAAATTTTTTCAACGCCTAAATTATAATAATATTGATATATTAGCGCGCAATCTTGAAATTCTAGATTCGTTTCTAATAATATGTATAGATAATTAGTTCCACGAAATACACTAGAAGCAACAGCTATTGCTGCCTATTTCTCTACTAGACTAAGAAATTTGTGGGATGAGTATGATGTGCAGTGTGCTACTTCCTAGCAATGGATGAGTACCATCTTTACTCTTTCCTTTTTTTAACACAGTACGAATAAATAATTAAAGTCGACCGTCTATTTTTTAAAGGCAAATTATATTTTTATTATCTAATTTCACTTGATTATTCAACATTCTGTTAAACTTTAACCAACGATTCTACTTGGCCAATTCACAATTTTACTAACTCTTAAGAAATTTAATAATCTAATTTTTTCATAATGTTCATTTATGTTGTTTACAAAAGAGCAGAGTTTTTACTTACAAATTGAAAAAAAGAAATCATAAACTAAACCAAATACTTGAAGAATTTAAAGAGAGCTTACTGCTTCTATACTAAACCGAAATTTTCAGCGTAACACAAATAAATATTTTTAACATTAACCAATTTAAACTAACTACCAAATCATAAATAATTTCAACAAAAATATACTTGGATGCTTGCACTAGAATTGCTTACTTTAATTAGTCACGCGAATGAAATAACTTGTAGTAATGCTTATTTTTATTAATATTATTATTATTGTTACTACAATATCTTCAACAAGAGTACAAGACCATAACACAAATACGTGTAATATTGGTACAAAGGCAATAGATGATGTTTCTCATTTTCGATTTAATTTGGATTTCTTAAGTTATGCCCCAAATTTAGCCTTGTAATCACTCCAAAGTTGATCAACCGTCTTCCCTAGTAAGTCAACAAAGAACTGATCACTATAGCCATTTCTCATTTTCTTGTTAAGTTCTGCCACGAACCCATTTCTCAAACTGTTGCAGTAATCAAGAAATTGAGCGGTTACATCGTAGCCTTGGTCCCAACGATTGCCCTGGCCAGGTTTCACCCAGTGGCTTGGCCCAAGACCAGCTTTGAGCCTCACATAATCAGCAATTCCTTCAATTAATCCTCCGGGAGCCCCACCGTTCCCATTCCACTGCCATACATGAGTGGCTTCGTGGTATAATACTCCAGTGATCTCTCTCCTAACATCTCCAGAGTAACCTTGGATGTACCTGCAAATGCATATTTAACATTTGAGTATAACGAGTACTATTACTTAATTATATATATACATATATATTTCATATGTCACAATATATATGACTCACAATCTCAAAAAGAATGATACATTTTTATATATATGTTATTGTTTGTTTGTTTGTTTTTTGGGAGGGGGAGGGGTATGTATTTGGAGTTTAAGACGTGCATTCACTGGTTATTTATTAAATCAATTTATGCGTACCTTGCACTAACATGAATCTCATTGTTGCTAGCGTAAGCTACTCCGTCCATGTCATCTACAAACATGCTTACTTTTGGAACATTTTTGCGGTCAGCCGGAGAATTCTGTTGGAAGATGTTCCATATGAAGGAAGTGGCAGCTACGAGTGTTTGCTGACTATATTGAGCTCCGATATCTCGGTCGAAACGGGCACCACCAGCGGTGTTTGCAGCCGTATTGGTGACAGAGTAATCTACCGCATCGATTTTTTGGGTGAATATTACCAAGACAAATAAAGAAGAAATGAAGAAAATGTTATTAGCCATTGCTTGTTTGCTATGTTAGTGATATGGTATTATCTTATAAAAAGATGAGCATTTATATAGTATTTTCATATACGTGAACACAGAGAAGTTGGACCAAGTCAGTTAGAAAATTTAAAAGGATGACAATATAAAAGCCGCCAGAGTGGGAAAATGAAAATTTCCAATTACTTTATGAGTAGGTCAAGTAATTAGTGTTTCTTGTAGTATGTAGCTAATACTCCTAATATATCCTCCACGACCCCATCATTTCCATTCCCATTGCCAATTTTTTGTATATCAAGATTAAAAAAATATTGAATCTGTCCCATAATAGCTATTCACTATACTATTTTGGAATGTTCAACAATACTTGTTCACTTTTTAAAATTAATGGAAAATTTTACACTTAATTTCTAATTTACCCTTATCATTAATTATAGTTATTTCTCTAGACATTATATTTATTACTCCCTCTGTCCCTAATTACTTGTCCACTTTTGAATTGACACACTTATTAAGAAATCAATTAATGACATAGTGAGTTTACCATTTTATCCCTATTAATTATGAAGTGAATGAAAAGATCTACATTTTAAAAAGTAATTAGTCATTTAATTGAGGGTATAATAGGTAAAAAAAAATTGTCCTTTCTTGATTTATCAAAATGGACAAGTAATTAGGGACAACTATAAAAGGAAAAATGGACAAGTAATTAGGGAGAGAGGGAGTATATGCAAATGATGATAAACTATCCTTCTATTTATAGTTTCTTAAAAAATATGCAAAATCAATGTTGGACAAGTATTGTTGAACAGATGAAGCAATAAAAATTACTCTCGTCCCAAGACTAAATATAGAGTTATGTTATTTTTTTTAAAAAACCGATTAAAAAGAGTATATTGCATAAATTGGGATAAGTATAGTATTGTTTTGTTCTTAATATAAACTACTCATATTTTACAAATTATTTCTCAAATCTATTGTGATTATATATCAATAAATATAAATATTATAAAAAATATATATGTATACACTTCATTTATTATTTTTAAGGGATCACAAAATTCATAATGAGCTAGTAAAAACAAACGGAAAGAGTAATAAGCTAGAGAGATTGATGCAATACTGCGGTATAAGATTTATATAAATTAGTAGTAATACTTTATTGTGGAACACAAATATATGTGCAAACAAATCACTAAATTACAACAAATAGTAAGTCCGAATTCGTAATTTGAAAAAATATAATAAGTTTGATATTAAAAATTTTAATAAATTGAACTCAAAAAAGGGAGTCGACAAGTCCACCACGATTGAGTCCAAAATACAAGCAAGGACTTGACTTAAAAAATATTTAAATAAGTAGGACATGATTCATGAATAACGGTCCCTGCCCAGATAAAGGTAAGGGAAATAGTCCATTGTGGGGTTATTTTTATTATTAAAGAAAGAATATAATTGAATTATAGACTAGCAATTCATTGGAAAGTGGGTGTAACAAAGTAATTAATTAAAGGGCAAATTAGAGAAATCACATACTTTTAAGGTAAAATTACAATCTATCCCTTAAAAGTTTATAATTACAGAAATCCCTCAAACGGATATAATAATATAAGCGCTGATACATTAATCTGATGCACGAGATACATTAATCGTTAAGTAAGATACATTACATTTTATACATGATACACTAATCTGATGTACATTTTATACATGATACACTAATTTAATGTGCGAGATACACTAATCTGATGCGCGAGATACATTAATCTAATGCGCGAGATACATTAATCTGATGCGCGAGATACACTAATTGATGTGCAAAAATGAGGAATTTTGGAGATTTGTAAAACTTATAGGGAATAATGGTAATAAATAAATTAAAATGTGGGATTTCTGTAATTTTTTCTTAATTAAATATAACAGTAAGATGATTTATTGATTTATTTTCATTGTCCTATAATTATATGTTCTTAATTATAGTAAGTTACAGCCAATGAGCTTTAGCCGGCCGAAAGATTATGTAATTCTTATTTTAGTGAAGCAAAATGCATTTATCAAGAATGGCCAAATGGTTAGATTGTATGGTTAGTTGTTTGATTTATAAATTAAATAAGTGGATTGAGTATTTAATAATGTCAATTCATTTTATTTTTCATTAAATATGAAGAGTTGGTGGCCTAGATGGTCACTCAACTTATGATTAATGATAATGGATTGAATTTAAATGATTAAAATTTTAGATCTAAAAAGCAAACACATTTATAATGAGCTGTATTTGAATAATTAAAATTCAGATTTTCAGTGCAAACAAATTAGGACTAAGTTATTCAATTTTGTTTTATTTTTTAAAAGTTGTTCAACTTTGTGTAGTTAGTTTTGATGGTTATTTTAGAAAATATATAAATTTTGGCATAATGACGTGATAATTATATATTTTTAGAAAAAAAAATTCAAAAATTGAAATATGTTATAAATCCAAGAAGTAAAGTATCAAATGTACTTGACTTTATCTTCTTTTTTTTTTATAAAAGAGCAAGAAACAATACTAATACTTTTCAAGGAACAACTAGAGAGGAAAAAAGAGAAGAGAAATTTGAAACTAATTTCTTCATGTGTATACTAATATATTGAAGACTTTAATAACATGGATTTTTAAATTCTAATAGCATAAATTAAAAAAAAAAGGGTCAATAATTTTTTTTCAACAACTCTGATACCAATGAAAGATTATCGTAACAGAAACGAGATTTGAGCACCTGTTAACAATAGGAAGATCAACGAAATTCTTTTGAAGAATTGCTCCAAGCTAAACTTTGAATCGCTAGGAAACAAAGTAATTAATTCACAAATTAAGTGTCAATTTGTCAGTAGATGTTTATCTAAATAAAGAAATGTGTATACCTTTTCAACCAGGGGCGGACCCACGTGGAAGTCAGGGGGTTCACCCGAACCCCTCGTCAAAAAATTACACTGTATATATAAGGTCTATTTCTGATTTTATTAGTACATATATTAAAATGAACCCCCTCAAAACAAAAGAGAAGCATGGCTCAGCGGCCAAGGGGTTCAACTTTAACTGAGATGGTTCGAGTTTGATTCCCCCTTGCAACATTTTCCCACTTGTTTTGTTTTGCTTTGAAAGGCAACATGGGCTCTTGTTTTGGGTTCAAATCCAACTTCATTTCATTGTTTTTCGAAGGCTGAATGGGATTTTGATTTCGAGCGCAAATCCCAACTCAATGAAATGCCTCATTGTTTTTGGTTCAATGTAAAACTTTATTATTTTTGTTATCATTATTTTTCTCTCTATGCTATTTCTTTTTCTCAATTTTACTTTGTTTAAATTTATTAGACATATGTTAGATACTTTTGTCTTTTATTCTTCTTATTTATACTTCTCATTTTATTTCTACATAAGTCTCTTTCCATGTGCTAACGATGAATAGTATTTCTTTCTTACTTTTTTCAGTTCGATTTTAAAAAGATGAAAACTAAACTAAACTTATTTGTTCTATTCATCATTTATCTTTTTCACAAATGACCTAGTCAATTGAATTAAATGAACTAAAAAATCGACGATGTCAATTATTTATCTTATAAATATATATATTATAATATCTTAGTGGTTGATTTAAAAAAAAAAATAATCAAAAAATAGAGTAGAACACTGCAATATAAAAGAGAAAAAAAGTACAAGAAATATTTTTTTAAAAAGCTTGATGAAATAGGGTTTAGTAAAAAAAAAAACTAAATGAGGCATGACAAGGCAAGTTAAACTTATTAGATTCATATTACCAGTTTTCTCCTATCTCGCTCAATTTTTCATCTTGTAATTTTCACATGTCTACTTCTTTATATTTCGAACCCCCTTCACATAAATCTTGGATCCGCCATTGCTTTCAACCCTTTCGTTTATAGTATCTATGTTCTCTTTTCTCTTTTTCTCTTTTTCTGATAAGAGTGATAAACAATCTTAAAATAGGGAGTGAAGGTGGTTCAGCAGTTACCCTATAACTGTTCCCACTCCTTTTTCCAAAACTGTATTTATTTTTATTTTAGAAACTTTATCGGGCTGGGTCAGATTGGATCGGATCGGATTCACATGGGCGACCCATGATCCAAAACTTAAAGAATTAGTTTATAGTCCATTTACTTATACATGAAGTACTTATATCTATCTCTTAGCCAAAATGACAACTTATGTCTCAAAACAAAGTATCTGCAAATACATAGATGAGAGACTCAATACTAACTGTCTGACTGTCTATGAAGCCTCTATAATACTGAGATGGATGTTGGGATAGACCCCACAACATCCTAATAAAGGAAAACTAGGAAAGCCAAATAACAGAGTCCTCCGGAATGCAATGAGGCTCACCACTGACTCTGGAGTGCTCAACTGGATCAACGACGTGCTGGATGTTGATCCTGGTTACCTGTATCTGCATCATAATAAGATGCAGGCCAACTGGCATCAGTACATTGAATGTACGAGTATGCGAGTTGGAAAGCTAAACAACAACTTAAGCTTAAAAGGAGTACAAATGAACACTTACCTTGGCTTTGTTTAACTCATGAACAACTGAACTCAATATAAAGCAATAAGACACATGCAATATATATAAAGCTTGTAAAACAGTGTAAACAACTTAGTTTGTTAAAGATAAAACAATAACAAACTTAACTTTACTTAAATATAAAAGTAATATAACTTTTGTGGGAGATTCTCTAACCGACAACCACCACTATGAGCCTAAGTGGTGATACAATGTCTTGCTCACGCTGCCAGAAATGTCCTATACTTTGCCGTCATATAGAACACTTAACTTAGTGGATCCACTAGTCTATGCTAAAAGCATCTTAAGGATTCATCTAAAAAGTATGATCCTTTACTATCCATGATGGCTACATGATTTATGGAGACTTGAGTTAATATGAACTCGCATCCCCATATCGGTGCTCAATTCTACTCCCAAAATATACTTAGCTCATATGTTTGTAAAAACAAAACTCTTTCTTTGAATTGAGATAATTACTCAAACTTAGCTTAA